TTTAATAAAATAAATAAAAGTGGGAAGGAGGGAGAAAAGGGAGAGTGAGGGAAGAAGTGAGATGGAGGGAGGAAGAAAGGAAGAGAGAGGAGAGGAAGGAGGGAAGGAAGGAAGAGGGAGGGAGCGAGGGAAGGGAAGTGAGAGGGAAGGAGTGAAGGGAGAGAGAGGAAAGAAGAGGGAGGAAGGATTTCTGATAGCTTCCCACTAGCAAAGTCAATGGGGAAGCCTGCAGCAAGTTGCAAGTCACTCATATTCCTACTGCTTTTTTGCATTTTCTCTGTTGAGTAGGGAAATATCTCTGAAACAATGACCCAAGGGGTCACGGGTTGTCTAGTGAGTACTAACACTACCTTTATTGTAAGGTTACAGCAACAGAATGTTCAGTCTGAAAGTACCTCTCGTGGCAGGAGATTTGTACTATGAGACTTGCAAGATTGATATCAACCTTCCAAGTAGTTCAGACAGGAAACATGACCAGATTACCTAATTCTACTTTATCGTAAGGCTATATTAACAGAATCTTGGAAGTCTCAAAGTACAAATCTCCCACAATCTCCTTTACAGCTTGAGAAGCTAGGGTGGATCTCTTCTGAGACTCTTGTTCCGCCCATTATGCAGCTGCAGGCTAAGACATCTCTTATCTGACCATTCCCTAGGCAGCATCTCTTTGCCCTGTTTCTCAAAGTCTTTCTCACATACCATCACGCCTGCATTTTGTAACCAAGTGTTGATGGGGAAGCAGCTGAAGGCAACTGATCGGAGTAGAAGACAGTATGGAAGCATCTTTTGAGAAGTCTCCCTTCCCTTAGATTTTTTTTTTAACTGCAGTGGGAGGATACTAGCTGATGGCACCTCCATAATTCATATGATGTTTCTCCTAAGCATCATTCAGCCTACTTTCCGAGCTTCTTCATCCTATTGGACAACAACCAAGGAGGAAGGGTTAGACTAAGTGAACAGCACAGAAGTTTGCCTCCTAGGGTTGTGGGGGCTCCGTCACTGGACATTTTGTCTAGGATGTTCTGAGGACACCTTCCCTGGGCAGGGGGTTGGACTGGAAGACCTTCAAGGTCTCTTCCGATGCTAAGGTGTTGTGATTCTTTTTCTTCTATCAGCAGGAAAAAGATTGTGACCAAAGATTTGCCTGCAAATCAACGATCAACAGACAGTAGAAATTCAGTGCAAGTGAGAAGCTGCCAGAAAGCATGGAGGGTGGGAAACTATTGGATCCACTGTCAGACCCCACCAGCCCTCCAGAAAACCACAGAGGACAAAAAACCCATGCATGCTCAGAGTGTGGGGAATCCTTTGCCCACCAGTCCCTCCTTTTGATCCACAGAAAGGTCCATGTGGGAACTGAATCCAGTCAAGGTTTGGAGTGTCAAAAATCCTTTTCTGGAGTGTGGGGCATTGCAAAACATCTCAGAAGCCACACCAGACTGAAATCCTACAAATGTGTGGAGTGTGACTTACGCTTTGGTCAAAAGTCAGAGCTGCTTAGACATCAGCAAATCCACACTGGAGAGAAACCTTATCAATGTCTAGAGTGTGGGAAGTCATTTAATGAAAAATCGGTCCTTAAGAATCATGAGAGGCTTCACACAGGAGAGAAGCCTTACAAGTGCTGGCAGTGTGGGAAGTGCTTTGCTCAGCATTCACAGCTTTGGGTCCATGAGAAGGTTCACACGGGAATAACATCTTATAAATGCCTTGAGTGTGGAAAATGTTACACTCGCAGTTCATCTCTTCGGAGCCATGAAAAAACCCACAGAGGGGAGAAAAACAAAAAGTGCCTAGAATGTGGGAAATGTTTTCCCACAAAAGCAAACCTGACGCGACATCAGAGAATCCACACCGGAGACAAACCCTATGAATGCCCAGAATGTGAGAAACGATTTGTGGATTCTTCTGAACTTCACAGACACCAGAAGGGGCACAAAGGAGAGCAGCCCTATAAATGTGGGGAGTGTGGGAAAAGTTTTATGACGCCAGGAGTGGTTCGGATTCATCAGCGAATCCACACGGGGGAGAGACCATACAAGTGTGTGGAATGTGGGAAATGCTTTTCCCAAAAACAACATCTTGGAACACATCAGAGGGTCCATACAGGAGTGAAGCCATACAGATGCATAGAATGTGGGAAATCTTTTGCTCAAAAGGGAGGACTTTGGCAGCATCAGAAAACTCACACAGGGGAAAAGCCATATCGATGCAATGAATGTGGAACATTTTTTCGTACAAGATCAGCCCTTAGAAGTCATATGAAAATTCACACAGGGGAAAAAAATTACAAATGTTTCGACTGTGGGAGAGCATTTGCTCATTCATCATCCCTTAGAGTTCACAGCCTAATCCATACAGGAGAGAAGCCCCATAAATGTTTGGAGTGCAATAAATGTTTTTCCAGGAAAGGAACTCTTTTGAAGCATCAAAGAATTCATACCGGAGAAAAACCTTACCAGTGTCTAGAGTGTGGGAAATCTTTTCCTTACAAAGAATGTCTTAGAATCCACGAGAGGCTTCACACAGGAGAGAAGCCCTACAAGTGTGTAGAGTGTGAGAAAGCTTTTCGTTGTAAATCAACGCTAAAAAAGCATCATCGAGTCCATATCGGAGATAAAACCCTTCAGTTGTGAACAACGTGGGAAGCATTTTTCTCAAAAGTCACACCTTTATGTTCACTGGGAACTTCACATGGTGACAGAAGGGAAAGTTTGGTGTGGGGAAATGTATTTCAAATAACCTTAAAAACCTTCAGAGAAGCCACGATGAAGCAAACATGCATAAAGATTGGGAGTGTGAGAATGCTTTGTACACAAAGCAGCATTAGTGACTTACCAGAGTGTTTACACAAGAGAAAAGAGTTACAAGAGTGTGGGGAGTGTAAATAATGTTTTGTAGAGTAATCAAACATTGATGAACCCTGGAGCGTTCACAAACGGTAATTGTAGAAATGCTCAGAACGTTGAAAAATATTGATGTCAGGGAGACCTCTGGAACCCATAAAGAATCTGCAAGAAAAAGAAATTGAGTGCTTGGAGCGTGGGAAATGTTTTTCTGGAATGTGTATCTTGGTCTTTTCAAGAAACACAAGGGAGTTCATAGTTCTAGGAAAGTGAGGAAAATTTCCCATTCTTATTTTATCAGAGCATTATTTGGAAGACTGGAGGAGAGCACATTTCCATGTTATAAAAATAGTCAGGATTGTTTCCAGGGGCATGGACTGGAGAGGGTCAAAAAAGTCAAGATGGCAGCCATACTGTGCAGTCAAAGCCCTGCTGCTTTTTAGATGTGTGTGGGGTGCCTGTGAAAAGGGACAGGGCTTCAATTGTGCACAGATGGCTGCCATCTTGACTTTTTTGCCTCCTTCCCCACCTGGACACTTCTGACTCTGGGTCCTGGGTTGAATTGCAAGAGGGTAGATTTTGGATGAACATTAGGAGAAATGTCTTGACTATTTGGATGAACCACTGCTCGTTCTCAAGGGGTGCCCAGCTCTCTGTTGCAGAATGTGTTCAAACAGAGCCCAGATAACCAATTATATGTAAAGATAATTTGTAATTTATAAAATTTATAAAATATAAATTTCAGATGTCACACAGCTTCAACTCGTGCCTTGACAGGAAAGATCATCGTTGGCTACATGTGCCTGACACACTCATGATTAACTAAACTATGGTTTACTTAGCACAGGGTGTTTCATGTGACCTGAAATTCAGCTAATGTGAGGCTAGAATGTGTGCAATATTCTTGGTATTCTTTACTGTAATATTCCACTAATATACATATAAAAAATTACGTTTAAATTTTTTCTTGCCAATTTCAAGTTGGAACCAGTTACCATATTTTCCATAGAAATATGACTTCAAATAGTGTGAATTTGAATAATGCAACCTTTTCGGGGATTCATTAACCGCACTAATCGAAACCTATCTGTATCTCCTCCCTTGCCCTTAACCATGGTTAATTCTTTTTCTGCTCTGTCCTCCATAATGTTGTCCTTAGTTGTCCTCGTTTTGAAGTGGTGTTTTCCCTCTTGCTCCAGTAGACATACCTTTGATGACGTCCTTGCAGATGTGCTCAGATGCTGGGAACTGCCCAACTCCTGTTGGCTACTTTAGGCTGATGCGGGCATGTTCCCACCCGCTGCAAGCACGGGGCGAGGCTCTTGGTGAGGATTTTGATCTGGGCGCCTGGGTTCCACAGAGGCATTGGCTAGCCTGATGCTTGTCAAGTCTCATGCAGGGTCTTTCTCAATATGGATTTAATGCCCTTCGGAAAGAAGGCTAGTCCTGTGCTCTACAGAAGGTCAACTGAAACTGGGAAAAGAGCCAGGTTCTGCCAGTTACGTGCTGCTAGTTCTGTCACTGCCATTTGTGTTGCAAGCTTTCAGCTCCTCCTGCCAACAGGGGGTTTATCCTCTTTCCTGTTTTTGGTCCCTCAGCTATGGAAGCTCCCTGGGAGACTCTGGGTAGTCTCCCCTTTTCAGTCCAAGCAACAGAGTGGGTAGTGATAAAGATGCTGGACTAGGAATGTGGAGATCTGGGTTCTGGTCCCCCTTCAGCCACGGAGGTTGCCCACATACAGCTCGAGTGCAGACACACAGATGAAATGTTACTACTTATTTGCATTGTCGGGAAAGCCATTCATTCAATTTACATGGCTGCCCCTCTTGTAAAACACAACTCGGGGGGGGGGCGCTCACAACAACAATAAAGCTAAAAACAAGATAACCAAAAGAACCAGGTGCCTGATCCACCATCACCAATCCATCCAGTTCCAACCTCGCCTTATCCCAGTGCCTGGGGGAAAAGCTAGCCCTTTATAGCTTTCCTGAAGGCTCAAAGGGGTGGGGTGGGGGTGCAGGATCCCCTGGGAAAGGATGTTCCACAGGGCAGGGGCTGCTACTGAAAAGCAAGCTTCCTGGGTCCTGCTAGATGGCAAAACGTAAGGGTCAGGATCTGGATTAATCAATTTTATAACTGAATGTCTCAGCTGATCATTGCAAGTGAGCAAAGGCAGTATCAGCTACACTGACCTTGGACAAGTTCTGGTCTCAAACCTGTATTTGAATTGTTACGTTTCTCCTCCTCCTTGAACTCGGGATGACTTTCATAAAGATGCACACTCCTCAGAGATGCATGTTTGTGTATATGGACATAGGCATGCCTACGTACATCCATATGCATGATGACCATTCTCAATCAACTCTGTCTTATCTGTGTATTACTTCTACTCTGCGATGGTTTAGCAGTATTCCCAGGACAATAGCACCAGACTCTTTCTCCTCTCAGTGGCTAAGCTACAATATTTGTATTGCCCACATTAGAACAAGCATGAGATATGGGTTGCTCCCCAGATCTGTCTTTCCTGTCCTGTGGTGATTTGGAGACGACCAATCCAAAGAGTGTGAAACTCTGAAGAAAACCATCCACGCCTGTGGTCCTCAGAGACACCACTCAATTTAAAGTTCTCATGATGGAAGGTCACATAACCACTGCACCAGTGACTATTACACATCACTGTAAGACATGAAGAAATCTGAATTAAAATCTCCCAGGAATTAAATATTTACTATCCAGTTAAGAGGGAACACCAACAGAGTCTTCTAGCAGTTACCAAAAAAAGGTAGCTGTAGATTGCTGGTACTGGCACTCTGAAGTATATACATTAGTGGTTGGTTCCAACTGTGAAAGATGAAACAGACAAGATGTCGGACACAGAAGCTGCCTTTATTAAGACAGTCAAAGCACTTTCCCACCCCCATTCCTGAGGGTTAGATACAAAGGTCATGGGTCAAGGCTATAGGAACCCAAGGCTTAATGTTCCTATGAAATCCATTCCTTGACCAACAGCCACAGTTTAGCTCAGGAACAGATAAGTTCCACGTCAACTGATGGTGGAACAAGAAGCTCGATGCACTGAGAGAACGGGCTTTTTGGCCAGAGCTGGTGTCTCTTGGTTCCTAGGTCCTTGTCAGCGTGTTTGGCATGACCCCCAGGGAATACCACACAGGTATCCAATCCAGTATCCTTTCTGGACTGGACAAGCATCATTCTTGATGTTCCACTGTGGTGAAAGAGGATAACCTACAAGCAGGCTTCTTGGATGACTGAAGAAACACATCCCTCTTGACTCCTTGGTGTTTCTAGTAGAGTGGGGCTGATGTGGTTATGGGGCAGTTATCCTGAACTGGCAAGAGCAATCACTGTAGTGGCAAAACACGGATCATGCAGGCTGAATGGAGGCATATTAAGGACTGGAGGTCTTTCGGGCACTGGTGGTGCAGGTGGTGTACTCTACCCCTTGGCTTCCACACCCCTTGTCTTCAGATGCACCAGAGTCCACTTGCAGCAGTTCTTGTGGTAATCGTGACCTTTGTTGAGTGCTGTGTTGAACGCAGGAGTCTTAGGCTTAGTCAAACTGATGAATGAGTCTCTGGAGCAATGTGGCGGTGGCTCCTTGGGGTCACCAGCTTGGCCAGCAGAGCAGACCCACAGTGCTGACAGATGGGAAGTGCTGTTCCAGAACCAGGGAGGGCACAGAGGACTACTTTGCCAGTCCATTCAGTACCCGGTCCAGAACCCGCGTGGAGTTCTGGGTTGCCTCACACAATGCTGCAATCTGTTGGCGCATTTGCAGACGGCCCTTTGCATCATCTCGCAACTCCTGGATGAATGCTGTGATACACTGACGCTCAGCAGCCAACTCCCGGAGAAGCTCCCGCTGGTTTCGTTCCGAGTGCATCATCACTCTCTCCATCATGCGCTCAATGTGGGGTACTCTCCGTTTCTTCATCCGCAGCAAGGCCAGCCTGGATGCCGGAGACAGCGTGGCAAGCCCTGGGATGGCCCGTGGTCCTACAAGAAAGAGGATGGAAATGGGACCATAAGTGAGACAGAACTTAAGTCACCATAAAGTAGACTGGAGGTAGAAGCAGTGGCCTTTAGGGAGGCATCAATGCGCGGGAGGGCAATTCAAGCATCAGGAATGTTGGCAAATTGGGAGGCACAGAAGTGGCATTCAGCCCCTCTGGGTTGGTTAAGTAGAGCTGTACCCGATCACTCCCTGAATTGTGTGTTACTTACATGGTCCTCATTTAAGTTGTGTTACTTACATGGTCCTCATTTACAGATGTGTATCATGGAAGGGTTGGGTGGGGAGGTAGATCTGCGTTTGCATGTTATGATGCATGTCATGTAAAAGGACAGCCAGGACAGCCGTACAAATATGTGGTTGCTTAACTATCAGGTCTTTGTGCGTGAATCAAAGCACAAACTTTGATAACTCGGCCTCAGTTATCTACTGTTCACTCTGGATCACTGTCCCCATCGCTCTCAGTCCCCATGTAAGCAAAGTTGCCAGAATGAGCTGAGCATCAACAGTGTACTCTGAGTGCTCCACACACCCCTCCCAGGGCTGGTTTTGCACTGCAGGACAGGACCATACTGTTAGCCCTGTGAGGTATTCCAGACAAGAAGCACAACCGGGAGTACCAGCTCTGTCTTTATTGTAAGGTTGCATTAACAGAATCTTGCAAGACTGAAAGTCTTTCTCCCTACCTCTTCTTTTACTCTCTGGAAAACTAGGGAGGGTCCCCTCTGAAATGTTTCCCACATCCTCCCTCCTCCTGTGGGCTGAGATACCTTTTACATGCTGGCTGTCCCATCTGCAGCGCTCCCTCCTGTCTCCCAGGGTCATTCCCACAGACCATTACACTTACCTCCAGCACTGCTGGGTGGCACCTGCTGTGCACAATCAAAATCTTGCAGCTGTGCAGCCATGTCCTCCTCCTCGTCCTCCGACCCCTCTGGCGCATCCCTCCGTGTTTCCTTCTTGCAGAAGCTGCTCTCCAGTTCTGTAAGAATTGGAGAGGGAACAGGGTTGCACTGGGCATCATGCTTTCGGGGAGTTTTGCACAAGAACATTCACGCACCAGAAAGCAAAGTGGAATATTTTCTCCCCACCAGCCCCCCTAATCCCCTCTCCTGGATATGCAGTGCTATCCCAGCTGTCTTGTGCCCTTTTCTTAGACTGGCAGGCCCATTTCCAGTTCAAACCAGGTCACCTTTTTAATTTGCTAAGACTGGGGTGGGACAGAGAAGGGAATAGAGAAGGCTGGAAGAACAGATGATGCAGTAGGCAATCTTGTGACATGCCATTTTTCTATTTAATTGCTTTTTAAATCATGCAAATGTAATATCAAATTAATAGAAGTAGGGGGATCTTGGCAGGCTTCTGGGGAAGTCCCCTGGTATCTTTGTGCCAGTAAGTTTACATACAGGTAGTCCTTGCTTACCAACAGTAATTGGGACCAGGAACTCTGTCGCTAAACAAGGCAACCATAAGGCACAATGTCACATGACCATGCCAACTTAAAATGCTGGTTCCTTGGGTGAATCCCGCACAGTCACAGCGTCCCACGGTCATGTGATTACCATTTGTGACCTCCTGCCAGCTCCCCCATTGGCTTTGCTTGTTGGAAGCTGGAGGTGAAAGTCCAAATGGTGATCACATGACCACAGGATGCTGTGATGTTGTAATTGTGCCTGAATTGTGATCATGTGACCACAGGGACATTGTGATGGCCACAACTATGAGAACCCATCGTAGGTACCCCTTGTTCAGTGCCAATGTAACTTCAAATGGTCGCTGAATGAGTGGACGTTAAATGAGGACTACCTGTACTCATTATCCAACATTCCAGTGCTACAGGATATACTTTGTAATTTTAAATGTATTTTTCAAAAAGCCAAGTTATTAAATCTTTGTATTAAATGTTACCTAGGCCTTCCTCTAATATGTGGATGAACAGAGGTGTCCTTGGGTGGGGGGTAAAAAAGTCAAGACGGCAGCCAAAGCCCCATCTCTTTTTTACACGATGCTTTGATGACATGGTTGTGGCCGCCATCTTGACTTTTTTTTTTTTTTTACCCTTTCCTCACAGGCACCCATGTGGATGGATATCATACAGACAAGTGAATGGGAGGCAACATTCTACCCCCACCCCAACCCCAGGGTGCCATTATCCTTGTACAACAATGGCAAGTGATTATTGGCCCATGAGATGGGTGAGGCCCACCAATCCCTTGAAGGTGCTTTGTTATGAATCCACTTCCCACCTGTGTCCTTTCATCAAGAAAGGCGGGAAAAGGACAGGTAGTGAGAGGTAGGACTGCACTGATACTTGGGAGCTACGTGCCTGCCAAGCTCCCACCCACTTCACCCGCCCAGCACCTGAGGGACAGCAGCAGCGTCCAACTGCTCAGTCCCAACTCATGTCATGGTTTCGCGGCCTGGCTCCAGGGCTGAATTTCCACCCCCATTGCTGTCCTACCAGTGGGAGCCTGTTCAAGGTAGTCTCCTAGGCCAGCAGGGCGTGGGGCACCCAGCTCTGCCTCACGAGCTAAGTTAGACCCAGGAGATGGGGCAGTGTAGGCCGTTGGGCCCTGTCCGACGGCCATCCCTTCTGCTGCACTGCTGCGTACTACCCGTTTAGGCGTCATGCTGGCATCCCCCTGGAGAATGCGGTGCAATTGCGGGTAGAACGGGCACACCACCGGGGCATTTCCGGATTTCGCGTTGTGGGCCACAACCCGCTTGTACTCCAGACGAAGCGTCTTTGTCTTTGTCCGGCACTCTGTGGCTGAGCGATGATATCCGTGCCCGCGTAATTCCTCTGCAATTTTCTCAAATATGTCTATGTTGCGGTGGCTGAACCGCAGCTCCTGCTGGATCTTCGCCTCGCCCCAGATTTCCAGCAGCGCAATCGTCTCCGCCCTTTTCCACGTGCTCCCCCGTCGACACTTTGTGGGCTTTCCGGGGTGGCTCATGCTGAGGAAGGAGGACAATGGCCTGTACAAAGATGGAATGTGATGGGAAGATGGTGCAACATGCCCCGAAGCCACAAGGGAGGGCAAACAAGCAAGTCCCACCCCAGGATTAATGCTGCCAGGGAATGGCGGTGCTGGCAGGGAGCGGCCAAGGAGTCCTGTTCACATCACTGAGAACAGCGAGCAAACAACCACGGAGAACGCGTGCTACAGTGAAATCACCTGGCATCATTCCATTGTGACTGACCCAGCCACAGCAACAACGGCCATCCCCCTGGCTATCAGTGCTGCCAAACCGGAATGGGCAAGACCTGGGAGTGAGCCGTCAAGGAGTGCAATTCTGACCTGATGGTCAACAGCACCAAGAAGCAGCCATTAGATGCAATTGTAATTGGCCTGGTGATAATCAGCATTTGTGCAATAGCACATTGGGCCACCTAGGCTGGAATGGAATAGGAGAAATGGCATCCCCCCATCCCCCCCCATGCACACATACCAAGGGAAACATAAATAACTGCAGTAGCTGGGGGACTGTAACTGCAAGATTCTGGTTTTGGAACATGGACTGTTCGGGGTGGCAACTGTAGTGCTTATATGCACAGTAGAAAAAGTACAGCCATATGAAATATCTTCTTGGCGGAACCAGGAGAAAATTGGTAATGCAGTCGCTGGTGACAGAACCAGTAAGACACAGCTGGAACCACCTGGCTTTTTTTCTCAATTTAAATCAACCTGTGCAGCGTAGATCTAATGCTCTTTCAAAAAAGCACTAAATCCGTGTTAGAAAAAAACAGTCTAGTGCTCTTTTAAAAGAGTACTAAACCTGCGTGTATAAGCTGCCTATGTAAGGTTAAATGGACAGAGGCCTCTATGGAAGCCAGGTACGCTGCAGCCCAGGGCAGCATGGCCACGGAGGACAGTGGCCAGGGACCAGAGGGGAGAAGGTGGGCACCCAGCAGCCTAAAATGGCCCATAGCAACAGGGCAGAGGCCAGCCTTACTGCATCATCAATCATGTTATCAGTGAGGTGTCCTAAATTGGGTCCACAGCAAAATTCATACTGGAAGAAGAGGGGGGAAAGACTAGTAAACCTGTACCAGTTAAAGATGACACTAGTTGCCTCCACTGTGGGGTGGAGATGGTATAAGGGCACCATCATGAGGACATGGTATTAAAAAACAGCCAGTGAGCTATGCCCAGTCCATAGTTAGAAGGACGTGAAGATGAGCCTTATGCTGGCAAAGGTTCCAGGCACCTATTCTCAACAAAGATTGTTGCTGTTGTGTGTAAAAGCATTCATGCCACTGAAACAAATGCTTTGCTTTACATTTTGTACCGTGTTCCGTGGGAGGGTTGCAAAATGGGGTTGGGGGTTCCCTGCAATCCACGGGATAATCCACAAAGCATAGCTACTGCTGACTTCAGATTTTGTAGGAACTTTGGAAGGGCCAGGAAGAGCCTCCTACTTTGGGGACGAACAGCTCAAGAGGGGAAAAAATGAGACGCGCATACTGAATCTGACAAGGTTATCTAAGGTCAGCTTCCAGTTTGGAAATGAGGATGGAGTAAGAAAGAAGGACAGAGTGGCTGAGTTAGTGGGAAAAGTCTCTTGAGAGAAGGGATCACTTGCCATTTTCCAACAGGAGTGCAGAGCTCCCCAACCGAGTCTTTATCACGCCCTCATCCTCTTACCTGAGTTGGTGTCTGATTCTGTTCCACCTGAGGGCCAGGTAGCCAACAATCTTCCCTTTGATCCAGCTGACAGGTCAGGTCAGGGGTGGGACCTGGAGATCTGGCCTGAGAAAGGTGGGAGAGCAGGAAACATCAGTAGGAATTCTTAAATTTACCCAGATCGTAACAATCCAGTCATACGTCTTCATGGCTATGGCCAGAGGTAACCTTCATTCCTTTGTGGTGGAGAACTCCTTAGGATGGAGGCTGTGTGGTTTAGATAACTTCTGCCCTAGTAGGACTGGGGCCTAACCCAACTCTCCTCCTCCTACCATGCCCAAGTCCCTGTCCCCGTTTTAAGGATCCTGTCTTCTTTCATCTTCAACCAGGATACTGAAACGTTCAGATATCCATGCTTCATTACATGACACAGAACAATACTGTTCAACATCTGCCCTATATTGCTTCAGGGAGGGGCCTGGAAGGCAGAACTCGCTGAGCTGCAAATCCCGAGTTACGAGGAGCTTACACCATTCCCTCCTCCTTTCTCCACAACAACCCTATAAGGTAGGTTGATCTGAGAGAGAAGGACTGGCCAAGGACACCCTGGGGAGCTTCTGTGGGTGAGGGGGGACCAAAATCTGGGCCTCATCCCTCTTAGCCCAGCACCTTTCCCACTACCCTAACCTCAGTCCTAGTCCAGCCCTTCCCTCTAGGGCTGGGAGGGAGGGAGTCTCCCAGGGAGTCTCCATGTCAGAAGGGAGTCCAGCATCTTCAGCAGGAGCCCACACTGGCTCTCTACTGCAGTTCAGCAACATTTTATAGCCCAGAATGCCCATTTGTTTTACCTCTTCAGACCTCGTCCAGTACTTTCAACTACAGGTAGTCCTCAGGTTACGATGGCCAGTGGGACCAGGATTGCCGTAGCTAAGCGATGCAGTCATAGAGGGTGACGTCTCAAGACTGCATCACTTAGCAACAACAATCCTGGCAGTCCCTGTTGCCGTCGTAATCCCAAGATGTGCTGGTTGTTAAGCGGGAAGTGACGGGAGTCTCAGGTAAGGAGCGTGGGGATGCCACGGGGGGTGGGAGAGGCCGGTGCAGGCCACATGTGAGGCCTGGGAGGCCCAGTGGAGGCTGCGCATGGGTGCGGGGGGGTGCTGCGGGTGGCAGCAACTTACCAGATTGACTTGTGACCTTCCCTGCCGGCTTCCCCGTTGATTTTGCTTGTGGAAAGCCAGCAGGGAAGGTCGCAAATGGTGATTTGCGGCTTCCTGCGACATTGTAATCGCGAGCTGGGCACCCAAATGCCTGGATCGCAATCACGTGACTGGGGGGTGCTGTGATGGCTGGAACTTTGAGGATCGGTAGTACATCCATTTTTTCACCACCTCTTTGAACGGTTGCTGAACAAATGGATGTAAGCTGAGGACTACCTGTGGAGATTACAGCAATCAAACCAGCTACTTTCTGTACACAAAATAGATTCTGCTGAGCTACAGCTTCACGCTTGACATTCCCTGGTTAGCAGCTTCATGAGTTCAGAAAACCAAGTTCCAGATTCTCCCTCCGATGGATCCAATTAAAAACAATTCATTCCTTGACCTTTCTGGCAATTATGTGTTTTTATTCCATGCCTCCTTGCCAAGACTTTTGAAGCCATTTAAAAAGCCAAAAGAAAACAGAATTAAAAACTATGAGAGGGCTTGAAAAGGCCTCTTGTCCAAAATCTTGAAGAGTTGGGCTCAGTGGCTAAAATTTGCAGTTACTACTCCCACAAACTCCGAAAATCATACTCCTGAAACTTGGCAGAAAAACACTCAATTCCGGCGGCCTCATTATCTGCCAGTTTGTGGCAAGAAATGCAGGAAAATGTGTGGGAAGCATGAAATATGTAGGCTTAGTAAAGTGAAGTCCCCTTTGCACTGAGTGTGGCTGCTGGTGACTTCATGAACACATCCCTGTGGTTTTCTTGGAAAAAAAACAAAACTATTTTGTTATTGCCTTCTTGGGAAAATCTTTTTTAACTTCCTGGACTAGCCTACTGTGCTATCAATTCCTGCTGGTCTCCCATCCAAATTCAGAGACTAAGAGAGGTTCACATGCTGCTGCTGCTGCTGCTGCTGCTGCTGCCGCCGCCGCCGCCTGGACACTCCCCTCTTAACAGCTAAGAGAATAGCTTGAGTCTTACTAAAATTGTTAAATCCTGTTCCTTCTGCTCAGGTGGAAGGCCTGAGAATAAACTACCAAACAGAGGAACTACTCTTTTGATGGCACCTTCTTTCCCAGGTGAATTCCACGCCCCCCATTCCAATAACACAATTCCCTCACCTTAAAGTATTTCCCAAGCAAGGAAAACCTTTTTATCCAGTTTCTGGATGTTCCCCAATCTTTGCCAGGTTCCCTTTCTCAGTCCTTCCCTTATTTTAAAAACACTAAAAAACCACATGAATGTAACATTTATGGCAGTACATTTTGCCCCCAAGTACCCACAACCCAATCCCTTTTTAACATGGTACGCAATAGTTAAACCAAGGGGAACTGCAATCAAACATTGCAAGTGTGGATTGCTCCCATTCAAAAATCTTGCAGCTAGCTAGCCAGCCAGCCAGCATTCCTCCTCTCAAAATGTGCCATTTAATTCCCTCTCCAGATTATTACATTTCTCTGTCACCTGGAAGTCACAGCACCTGGACTTGGCAGGATTGGCCCTGATTAGTAGTTGAGACAGGAGACCATCAGAGGCTGCAGACTGGAAAGCCGAAAAAAGCCTCTCCGAGGAAAGTGTTGGCAAATCACATCCTTAACACTACTCTAGGATCGCGCAGTTAAGAAAATTATGCAGACGTGTCCAACTGTAGTTCCCAGGAATTGAGTTCAACTGAAGAGGATCTTTACCTTGATTTGGGATGCAAAATTCCCTACAACCCCTAGAGAGCAGCAAAGGATTTTTAGCCTGTCTTTACTGCCATCTGACAGTGATCTTAATTATTGCAGCCCAGATCTGATCTTTAATCTTTAAATTAAATCAGCCTTTAATCTGCTTGGCTCCGCTGAGTATACAGGAGTCAGAACTCCGTGCTTTTTTTGTCTGGGAATATTACAGGTAGATGATTTTGCTTGTTTCTTTGCTCGCACTCATTTGGCAACCAATTTTGGAATTCAACTGGGCCTTTCTTCTGAACATAGCGGAGCCATTTCAGCTGCTTATGTCTCAGTAGTAAGGGGAGTTTATTTTATTATATGCTTATAACTGACTGCAGCACGGACATAGAATAAAATAACTGACACAATACCATTCATCATAACATCATACCATAAAATAAGGAGCCTCGAAACTAAAGTTCATGATCTATATTAACGTTAACCTCTATACATTCAAAGTAGCAGGAACGAATTCATTTATTTTAAAGCAACTTTACAGGGGCCCACGAAAAAGAAGCATGCTTAGTGCTTTTTAACAAGTTTAAAAGTTTAAAAAAGCGTAAGCGACATGGAGACTCACATCAATCTTAGCAACTTAATTCAACTTGAAAGAACGTTCCCTGTTTGCAGCACTAATAGCCCGAATGTCATCCACCCGATCTTTCGGCAGAGCGTGGCTACCAACAGCAGAGCACTTGGATAGGGACCCCGGGGGTCTTCCAATCGTGACAGTTTTACCCTTGGCAGCAATTGTTTGCAGGAGTTGCGAACAAGTTCGCCCAAAACCGTCCCTTCTCCTCGCCCGCTCCTGCTCTGCGCCACTTGAAGCGAGGGCAGAGGCTGAAAGCGTTTGGGCTCCTTCCCTGCTCCCTCCGCCCCAGCTTCTCCCTCTGACCGCGGCAGAAGCGCCTGCGTGCCCAAAGGGTCGTCCAGCCCTGATTCGAGCAGCTCAGCATCTTCCCCCACCCTCGCGCTCCCCCCTGCTCACCAATATTCACCCCGGGCAGGCGGCGGCGGCGGCGGCGGCAGCGGCTGCTAATGCACGAACCGTCTCCGACGGACGCCGCTGCGAGGGAGCGAGCGCCTCCCTGCCGCCTTAGCAAGAGCGCGGGTTCAGCCCCCACCGCCGCCTCCCGCCCCTACCTCGCCTTTTCATCCAAGAAAATATCACCTCCAGAAGGAGGGAAAGGGACAGGAAGCCCACTTGGATGCCGGGACTGGTAGTTCTCCTCGTCGCCCACGGCCAGGCTCAAAGGATGCTGGGAGATGTAGGCGTCGAGCCAGTTGCGCGAGCCGCTGTTCTGCGCGTGTTGCGGGGTGGGGGTGGGAGGGGGGGTGTTCACGCAGAAAGGGAGCCGTTAAAAAAAAAAAATATGGGCGAGAAAGAAGAGCGTTTTGGCAGATGCAGCTTCCCAGAGAGAGAGGAGAAAAGCGGTTCCAAACCTCCTTTGAGTCCATCGAAGTGGTCAACAGAGGAAGCTTGCAGAATAGGAGGAAAATTTGTATTTCAAGGGCAAAATTCATTTGCCCAGAAGGAAAAAAAAATGACACGTTCAGAGTCAAATTCGACCCTGAGGACTATTTAACCAGGTTTGCCAGTTGCTCTGCATTTCAAAAATCTGTAATGTTTCCTTCTAAATTAATAAACAATGCAGGTTGATCTCTCTCTCTTTTCCTTCCTTCCTTCCTTCCTTCCCTCCCTCCCTCCCTTCCCACTCACTGCGCTGAAGCTGCCCCATCCTTTTTATATTTTAAGAAAACTTTAGGGGAGTGAAGTTGAATGAATGAATGAATGAATGAATGAGAGTTTGATTGGGGAGCTGATCCAGGAAGTCTGGGAGAAACTGGTGCCTCCAGGTAATATACGGTACCCCAGAGTTACTCACATACCCAATATTTCAAGTCTGTTCTGATTGCAGGAGCAGTTAGTTGCAAAGCCTAGTGAAACATGGTTAATCCCAAAAGAATGAGCAGCGTCAGAGCTGGTTAGCTCCAGAATGACAGACCACGAGAAAATCCCAGGGTGGTAGATGAAACTAGACTGATAAATAAAATTAAAAAAAGTCAGTTGCAAACCACTTCCATCTTGCTGCCAAGATACCTGCAGATCTCTTCATATAGTTACCAAGAATCAATACACAGCTGATATTACGGAACTCCCTGCCTCATGAAATCTGAAATTCCAATCCGCTCCTACTTTGTTAAGCTTCAGGAAATGATTAGAACCAGAATGGTTTAAAGGGGCCTTTGATTTATAGTGGCTGACACTGTTTTATTGCTTTGAGGTTGACTGTCTGATGATTTTTATCTGTGGTTTGATTGGGGGGAAGCAAATAACAATTATGGTTATGTATCTAGAATTATAGCATGGACATTTTAATTATGATTGTAACTGATTGAAAATCCCTTGATTGAGATCAGCAAAACAAACCCTTTTTTAATCAATCAATAAATCAATCAATCCGGGTGACAGAGGCAAAAAATATAAATGGTTTCTTGTTAAGTCCATACCAAGAAAGGCAACAGAAAGAAAGTTGCATCTCCCCAGGATATAGACTAATATAGATATATGCGTCATACTTATATACCCCTTACTCCAGTCTTGCTCAGCATGGGGGTCTCTACTTAAATTGGGCCAGTAATTCAACAGGTTGGCTGGCTGGGAAATTGGACTTGTAGAAAGCTGGATGTTAGGTCCCCAAAGAAGACTGATTTAAAAGAAAATCCCATTTGTACTTTCCAGGAAATGGATACTGAATTACAGCCTCCCGCCTTCCCACTTAATTTTTACTACTAAGATATAATTCCTCCTGAAATCCGTGGGTCTAAAATCGCAGTTTATCTGGGGAAGGAATGCAAACTTGATCTTTTTGAACGCAGAGCCAGATTTTCTAGCAATGCTGCCTTCTGGTCCTAATTCCCCATGAAGACATGGCAAATTGACAGTGGTGTCTGCAGGTGGGTGAGTGGGTGTCAAAAAAGTCAAGATGGAGTTCAAGTCAAAGCCCCGCCCCTTTTATGTGCACTGTGGTTGTGATGCATGTAAAAAGAAGGCTAGGCTTTAGTTCTGTCCATCATCTTGATATTTTTGACCCCCACCCACCCTAGCTGACCCCCCCCCACTCCCTGCTCACAAAATGAA